TGGGGAGCGCGGGGACACCGGCCCGGCGGCCAGACCTGCTGCGAGCTCAGCGCCTCGAACCCGTACGTAGTGGGGACGGGAATATGTGTCTACAGAGAATGTGCATGCTTAGAAAAAGAGAGAAAACCTTTGCGGGCTTTGCGCTGAATGGAGGAAATGTAAGGTTTCATAGCTCCGTTCAGATGTGTTAACTGAAACAAATCCCAGCAGTGTATGTGTGTAGATAAAGGCATACGCTGCAAGGGTTGTTGGCCAGATTGAGGTTGCAGCGTGCCGTGGGAAGGGGCAGCACTTCTTCCTAGGTGGTGTGGTCCTGGGCACAGTGTCTCTGAAGAGATACAGAGTTAATAGTTCGACTCCAGTGAGCCAAGGACTTGAGCCTCTGCTTTGGATTCTGTTGTCCTGCATGGACGTGGTACAGTTCAGGTACAGCGATTCTCTGAAAGAGATGACAACCTACTCTGTAATAACGGTAACTTAAATTCCAGAGCTGCTCCTCAGTGACAGTGTTGTTCCTCAGGCTATGGGGTATGAGGTAAACTGGTGTCGAGAGAGTCAGGGAGAAAGGAGTTTCCACTTCCTTGTGCATGGAGACACTTGGAGTGAACAAACCCCGGGAAAGATCTGGGGTTGGCAGATCATATCATGCAGTTTCCAGAGTGAATCTGTTAGAACCCAATCACTAAAACGTTAGGTAATGAGTTTCTGTTGATATTTTGGGTATTGCCTCCAAACTCTTTTCATGGTGCATTGGTGTATATATACACATCTTATGAAGAGATTGAATATGCTCAATGTTAAATAGAACCTGGAACTGCGTTTGATACCCTTGTATTATTTTCCTTGTGGTGAGAGTTCCTCTCTCACTTCAGCACAACCTCTGTTTATACTGTCTGTGGGAAGTTTGACGTGGCAAGATTTTTTTTTCTGTGTGTGAGTGAGTAAGCTGTGGAGGAAGTCATTTCCCTTGGATGCCCTCACAGCTAAAGGTGTTGACTGTTGCAGCTGCCTCAAAGTGAAAATCTCTTCCTTTATATAGATATAAAATGTATATATCTATATATCTGTGCCAGTGTGTAGGTAATTTAGTGCTGTCTTAGTGCCTTTTGGAGCAACTAAAGCTCTCAGTGCCACGTCTCACCACCTGATGGAGGTGGGGAGGGAAGAAAGTACAGCTGGCAGCACCAAGCCTCTGATTAAACATTTTTTTCTTCTCCCCGTGTTTACCTTGTTACCTAATAGATAGAAGAAAACTATAGAGTATCTGAAGCAGTTTAATACTGCAGCTGAGAAATCTTGGGCTGCATTGAGCAGTGTGGTTTAGTGTGTTGCACAGGCAGTGTGTGGGGAGGGCTGGGCCCTGTACACAGCTCAGAGTGGTTTCTTGTCTGACATGGAGGATCAGTAAAACTGTTTTTTTCTTCATAAATATGTGTTTGAGAAGCTTCGAGATGGGTTTTCTGATGGGGATAGCTTTTCTCTACTGACGTGTGCCAGTGCTGCATGAATTTATCTGTATGCTCCTGGAGATGTAACTTTGAGGTGCCTTTGTGTGGGCCACAATTCCTAATTTATTTTCATCCAGTTTGCATATTTAAAGATGACTCCATGGCTTGAGCTTAAGCATGTGAAGTATAGGTGGTTGGGAAGGATATTTCAAAGGAACATTTAACAACTGAAATGTTAGTTTATATTGTGTATCTTTAGTTCTTTGGGGATACTTGACCTATGTGCTTGGGACTCTACAGAAGCAGTAAATGGTCATTTAGGGTTTGGATCCTCAGCGTTTCTCATAACAGTTGTAATTTGGGCATCCAGAAACTTAGTGGAATTCTGGTTTTGTTAAATTCAATATGATGTCAGAATAGAACGACTCACACAGAAGAGAAAGTTAGTTACCAAGGTTACAAAGTGTACAACTCCAATAACTTTTCAGATCCCTTGGTGGCAAGGGCACCATGTCTGAAAACTAATTGTTTGTAATACAATCATCTGGTTCTAAAAATGATTGCAGTTATCAGGACACACTTTCCTGAAAGTTTTGTAAAATTTTCTTCTATCCTGTTTAAGAAAATCTGACTACAAGAAAGAAATTAGTTGTATTGTGAAAACTTTCTGAATTGTTCTTTATCAGATTCTGGTTTTTGATTGTTTCATTTTCTGTAATAAGAACAGGATCAAGATACGAAAGCGTAAGAAAAACTGCCTGATAACAGCAAGGGCAACATACAGTACTGATGAGGCCAAACTACTCTCAGAGAACAGCTTCTTACTTGCAGAATGCCTTGTGCTCAATTTTATCACACTGTGGAGTTGGGTAGGAAAAAGGCTGTTCAGGCCTGGCCCTGTAATGTAGAGGACAACTGGAAATAGGGTCTCTATCCTGTAATTCTCTGTTTTCACCAGCACCAAAAGCAAGGAATCTTCCCCACTGCCTTGGAATGGAGCTGATGTAGAAGGTTTGATGGGAAGCTGGTGTCATGTTCTATACCTGCTCGAAAAAAAGGTGTGTTAGGACAGGAGAAAGATTTGCTAGCAAAGTTTCATACTGTGGTCACTCTGCCTTTCCTGATTTTTCAGTGTGTTTGTTGGGATAGTTGGTATTTGGGGAGCAGGACTCACAGTGTATTTTCTTCACAGGTGTAGGTGAAGTCAAGGTTTTCCCAGTAAAGAGAGCAGTTTGGGACTTTGAGGTTTTTCTTCCACCTGCACATCCGTTGCTTAGTTTTTCTCTCCATGGGCCTGGGAGGGGTGATTGCCATTCAGATAAATTCAGTGATTTGTTTAAATTCATGCAGTATGTGATAGTGCTGAGGAAACTGAGCAAGCAAGCAGTTTTGCCTTCAAATGTGTCTTAACTTTTTATGAGGAATACAGTTCACAGCCTTTTATCAACCACAAAGTGATGAGTAGTAGCAAGTGTCACTTTTCCTTTTGCAGATTATTCAAGAGGACCTGGTACTTAGAATGAGAATATTGTCACCATGAGTCAACAAGGTTATGTTGCGGCTCCTCCATATTCCCAGTCCCAGCCAGGAATAGGAGGTTTTGGACCACCTAGTTCTTCACTTCATTATGGGCATTATGGGGACCCTAACTCCTCATACTCAGCACCTCAACCAGGTATGATTTGTTTTCAGAGTCTGCTTTTCTGTGATGTTATTTTGCATCTCTTGTTTGTGTAAGTTTCACGCTGATACAGCAACAGGAAACAGAAAACAAGGTTTTACCCAGTTTCTTTAAAAGTTCTTATTAAAGACAGCAGGAAGTATGTTACTTTAAATGAATGTTGAATATAGTCAGAAGGTAGAACTACTTCTATCTTCTTATTAGAGTACTTGGGGAAAATACCAGTTTTGGTACCAAACACATTTTTTGGCTTAGGGAAAAAGGGAAATAATTCAAGAAATGCAGGTTGAAGAGCTGTTTATTCAGCACTGCTGTCTACGTAAATTACAGTTTCTTCACAGTCACTGTACTACATCTGAATTAAGAACCATTTTCAGCATAGACTTGCAGGTTCTACATATGGAGGCCTTTTCAGTTTTGTTTTTGAAGGTTATTCATTTTCTTTCTTACCACGATCTCTGAAAATCAGAGGGACCTCTTGCTTCTACCTAGAAATGTAACTGTGTGGCAGGGAATTACCAGTGTCCCAAACTGGTAATTGCAGGGTCTGTTTGTTAACTGCTTCTTTCTTACTATCTCTCGGATTCTTTTGCTGGTAGGTTGTGAGTTGCTATTTGTTTCATTTTTACTATCTGTTAGTTATAGAAGCAGATACAAAAAACTAACCAGAAATCTGTGGTTTCTTGTGGAATCACAGAATGACTGAGGTTGGAAGGGTTCTCTGGAGGTCATCTGGTCCAACCCTTCTGCCCAAGCAGAGTCACCTGGGGTTGGTATTCTCATTGATAGAGCAGAGCTGTACACTTGTGTTTTCTGCCCATCTTGTGCTTCCAGGGGCTTACATAAGTGCTTAATCTTTTGCAGGTGTGTCAAAATCAACTGTGCCTTTTGGATCTTCGGCTCCTGTTGGGCCTCCACCAGCTGGTACCCAGTTCAGCCAGACCAGTTTCCAAAATGGGCCTGGTGCACCAGGGCAGCAGCCACACAGGTGACTTTAAAGACATCTAAGCTCTTTGGCCTCTGTTACCTCTCTGTGAAGGAGATGGGAATGGGGAAGGGAGAAAATAGGGACAGGTTGAAGCTCTGAAAAGAAATTTTAGAAAAATAATTGTGTAAGGTGGCTGCCAAGCTTTATTACACTGTGCTTATGATGCAGGTAGGGATAAGTGGGATATGCAGCTCTTTTATTTAATTCTGTCAAATATTAATGATTTTGCTCACCTTCCAGGAGTGGCAGAATTAGTCTGTGTATTTGTGAACTAGGCACTGTTTAACAGCTTGTGATTGGTTGAAGTATTAATCTGCTTCTGTGCTTTTTAGTTGTTGTATAGTTACTCGTGTTCAGATAAAGACACATCTATGTTTTATTGCACTTCAGAATAGGGAAGGCTCTTTGTTATCACTGTGTGAAGGAGGGCCCAAAAAGACTGGTGATCTGTTGTAAAAGATGATGTACTAGTGCGTAGGGAGAAGTGGTGGTTGTCCTGAAGATGAAAAAACAAGGTCAACAGAGTCAAATTGACATGACCCAGAAAAATACTGGTTCTCTTTCTTAGCTTCCAGTCATTGGCCTGACAGCTGCATGTCTCCTAATCTTTTTCCCCAAATTGCTGAGAGCTGCTATTCTAGGCCAGGAAATTTCCACAAGAAAATTTCCAGGAAAGTGAATTCTACTCTTGAAGTAGCTGGGCCTCTCCTCAGTTTTACAAGTAGTGATAGGAAAACCAGCATTGATTTTGTCTGGGATGTGCCCTGGGATCTTACTTTACCAGAGTGAAATAGTGTGGTAGAGAATCCTTTCATAAGCCACGTGTGGGTTACTGCTTTCTTTTCTTTAGTTCTTTCTCATGCATTCATGTTTTTCCATATCTGATAATCATGAAGTAATTTTTCCCTATCTACATCTTTTTTTCTTCTACTACAGAGAACTCCTTAACATTTTCTTCTCTTCACAGATTATTCTCCTAACCTTCTTCACCTATCCCTGGTAGGGAATCTTCCTTTATAAACTTGGAAAGGGGATGGAGTGATGTGATGTGTTCAGAAGCTTGTATTTCTTAATCTGCAAGCTTTTGTTCAGTTATTATCACTCTTTGCCATGGCATACTTGCTCTGCTTTATTTCTAACAAGTATGCAAATGACTATGTACTGCCTTTCTTTTATTAAACAAGTGTGCATTCTCTTTGTGCTTCATCTGCTTCACACTTTTCTTAATATGAGTGTACATTTTCTGAGCAGAACGTGAGCAAACTGTCCTAAGGCTTTGTCTGTGCTAATTAACTGTTTTGGCATCACCCTTGAGAGGGTATGAGAACTTCTAGAGTTAGGTTTGGTCATTTTTTTGCATAACTGCACTGATTTTTTTTCCCTTTAGGTTTCAAGGTCCTCCACCTCCAAGCAACACAGGACCTTCCTATCCTCCCTACAGTCACCAGTCACAACCAGCCTTCCCAAATACTGCATCCACTTCATCTACAGCCCAGCTTGCTGACCAGCTCAGCAGCATGCAGATAAATAACTATGGTAATTGGGTTTGTCTGATCTGATTGGCTTTTCTTCAGTTAAAGCATTAAGACTATGATAGTTAGAAACTTGTGTATAAACAGAAGGTGAAATCTTTGGCCACTATCATTTTTTTCCTCATGTAAAAGTCAGCTGTATCCTATGAGTCACTTCTCAAATTACTTGGTGATCCTGTCAGGAGCAGCCAAGGCATGAGCAATAGTACACAGGATTTCATTTTTCTCAGCTTTTTAGAGTTTCTTGCAGTTTTGAAACTATTTTGTTCTTTTTTGTCTAAATCCTCTACTTTTCATCTGAATTTGCCTGCATTTATTTTGATGTTATAAAATCTTAAACCTAAGCCAGGAAGTCAAGATGTGATCATGACATGCTTCCGTATAAATTACTTCCCACCACTAATTTTCGTATGTATGTAAATTATATAAAATATGTGTAACAACTATATAAAATAGGTTGTTCTCATGTTTTTATGCTGGAAGATTGATACCCTTTGGGTCACTGAAGACAGATTCCATACAACTCTGCCTCTGTGCTGGGTTTTGTTCTTAGGATATTTCATAGCTGTAAGATTGAGTTGGTGTAACTTTTCTGAGTGAAAAATTAATATCTTGCTAAGCTACTGGAGTGATGTTTGGTTTTTTTGGTACCAGCTGAGAACTTGAGCTTGTGTTTTGCATGTAAAGTCTTTTTTTAACTTGACATGCCTGACAGAAGCAACATTTCAGTGTTTGTCTTTTTGCTTCAAGCACATAACACATTGGTCCTTTTGCTTCGAAACTGATTTTGGTTATTTTTTTAGCTTTCTTTAAAATTCTTTTGCCACAGGTCTTTGGGGAGAAATGTGACTAAAATATGCAGGTTTTGTAAAGTAATAAATGTTTACAGATTGTAAGCCTCAAAAACCCCTCCTGTTTCCAGGATCAGCTTAATTCTAATGGGAATCTGGATCTTAGAAACAACAAACTATTCCTCACTAGTGTGTACAAAAAAAATAATTCCCACGTGTATCATCTTTTAGCATCAAGTGGATTTATTTTGCATCAGACCGGTCATGGTGAAACGCAAATAGCAGACTAACAAAAACATGCCACACAAGAGAAATTGATTATTAAGCAAAACCAATGTTGTTTCACATTCTGAAATTAAATATTATTTCAAAAGCAAAGAGTGATCTATGTATATTCTAATCAAAAATTGTCAAAGCCTGGCTTACCTCTCTCTTTCCCCATCCACCCCAGCTGCAGAGTTTTACTGGAAACAGAACCAAAAGAAGTAAAATTGACTGTCTGAATCAGTTCAGACCTAAACCTTGAGATTAGATTTGTAATGCAAACAGGCCTGTAGCATCCCCATAATGCAGCACTGTCAGTATGGGTTACAGTATTGTCTATATGTTAAAAGTGTGGTGAGCAAAACTAGAGATTATCAGTTATCAGATTTGACTCATCTGACATGCTTTCTTGCTCAGGTCCTGGCACTATTCCGAGCCCTCACGTGTCTCCTGGGCATCCAGCATCTCTGCAGGGACCACGGCTACCACCACCAACCCAGCAGCAAATCTCTTTGCCACCTGGATCACAGCTTCCTCCTCCACCAGCTAGTAATGTTAATGGCCTTGGTGCTCAGCCATCACTGCCTCCTATGGCCAGACCAGGTGGAATCCCTGGCCCTGTCTCTCCAAATCCTAACTTGCAACAGCTTCCAGGACAGCCTCCAGGGCCTGGATATCATCCTCAGCAAGGTAGGGAAGGATGTTTGTTAGGTAATAGAAAACAAAGCCTGCACAGAGTCGCTGGTGGAACTGCATCCATTCATGATTGAGTATTCAGCTACTTGGAGAATTGAATTCTCTTCGTAGAAGAGAAGTATTTGCATGGTCAGTCTGTACATTCGAGGCAGGCTCTGCTTTTGCTCCAAAGTTTAGCACTCTGAGACTGTAACAAGGAAAAGGAGATTAATTTGGATCAGGAACAGAATTAGTTAGTAATTGGTAAAGGCACAACATACCACAGAAAGAGGTTTTTCTTATACTCTCTAAAGGTGTAGGTTGCTCTCTGTCTTACAGTGCTGCCTGTCATAAGCAGCTTTCAAAAATCCTTTACTGCAGCAATAACAATTTGTAGCTGAATACAATTATTTCACCTGACATAGGTGGGCAAAACAGTTACTTTGACAATTAAAAATCCAGCTAGCTATACCAGTTTGCATTGACTGATGTTAGGGGAGAGATTATCACTGATGTAATGGCCTGGTTTAAGTAGCTCTGGTAATCTCTACTAACCATCCTATTTCACATGTACCTGAAAACTTAGGAGCCAAAGTTGTCACGTCTAGTCTTGTTCTTACCTGTAAAACACAAACTGCATGAGCCAAAGTAATCCATTTCTTTAACTTGCTGGAAACAGAAGTGAAAGAGAAGTTGCACTCAGCTGAGTAAGAATTAATTGTATGGCAGAAGTAGATGTTAAAAATTGATAGCAGAACTTAAGCACTTTAAATGAATTGTTATTTGTAACTCTGCAGCAAACTATGGTCCTCCGATGGCAGGATCTCAGCTGTCTTACCCTGGTGCTTTTCCTGGGGGTCCAGCACAGCTCTCAGGTGCTTTTCCTGGGGGTCCAGCACAGCTCTCAGGTCCACCACAGAAGAAGCTTGATCCTGACTCTATTCCAAGCCCGGTGAGTAATGTGACACTGATTTATTTATTTTTTTTATAAAAGTAACTTTCTGCTGCATTTAAGGTAAAGGAATGACAGTGCTAACATTGTGTTTATTTTAGCTGGTGGGGTTTTCTGTAACATAAAACTGGACTTACATATCTTGGTTCATGAGATGTGTTCTCGTTTTTGCAGTTCCCTAATTCATGCAGTTTTGTACTCTGCACTGTCAGCTTTGGATAAAGTAGTGTATAAAGTCAGTTTGAGTACTGAAGGCACTTTATGACTTTATCTAATATGGGACATACTCGTGACTCCAGATACTTTACTAGGAATTCTTGACAGGATTCTTAATATGACAGTGAGCAGTACTGAAGGATTACTTGCAGTCACTGCAGCTAATCACCTTTCCTTTTCACTCTGAAAAGTCTGAAGGCTTAAACTTGGTAACAGATAACCTGAAGTAGGATTTGTGCAGAATACGGGTAGGTGAACTCTAAAACTGCAATGGGAAGTCACATTCAAAGGCCACCTCCCTGCCTTTTGATTCCAGGAGTTTCCCAGGCAGCTAGAGCTATTTGCCTGAGCCATCCTTCCAGTCGCTGCAGCCTTGTAAAGATTTCAGTAGCTTGGAATATCTCTGATGTTTCAGCTTCATACAGGCTGAAGAGGCTCAGCTGTTCAAGCCTGCCTGCCTGAACATGCAACGGTGGACAGTCTCTCTTCTTAGAATGGTGTTAGAGAAAACAATATTATGGTTGCATCCATCTCTCTTAAATAAAATAGTCTGTTATGCAGAGGAGTAGCTGGTCAGGTGCAGGCAGCATTTAACTTAATTGTTGGAATGACTGATGGAAATAAAAGGCAATAATGTGCTAAACTCCTGGAGAAAACATTCTGATGCACATAGTTATTCTGGTTCTGGCAATCATCTGGACAGGCTAAAAGGTCCTCTGAAATTCAGTCAGGATTCTTGAAGCAGGCTGTGTCCTGCAGCTTCAACCTAGAACTTTCTGCTTTCAAAAATGTATTCACCACCACACTGTAAGCTAGTCTGAGTGAAGGAATCTTCCACTTCTTGCTGAGGCAGGATTGCTGTACAGGAAGCAATTTCTGTTACACCAAGACGAGGCAAAAACATTTGTGCAAAAGCCAGACACTGTCTAGTAGGGATCAGCCCTGCTTCCTTGGATTGGGGTATTCTTTTGTCATTGTAGAAAAGATTTGTTTTATCCACTGATGGTTTTGATGTTAACTGCCCAGAGTTTTGGAAAAACACTTGTTGATAATCCCTGAAAGGTTAATGTAAAAACTGCAATGGCCTCTGTTAAAGCCAGTTTTCAAGTTAAATATAAGTGAACACTGTTGTGTAAAATAAATAAATATGCAGTGCCTGTATAAATAACAAATGTCCTTAAGTCAGTCGTTCCTAGTGTCTCAGTGTGGTGCTTTATACATTGGAAGGATAAAATGGTCTTGTCTAATTTCCACAAAAAATTGGGCAGGGGGAGAAGGAGGTCTGGCATGAGAGCATGGGCTGATGTCTTGTTTCAATTATACATGTAGCATAAACAGCCTTGACCATGACAGCGATGTTAAAATAGGTTAAAAGGTTTCTTTAAGCAGCACAGAGAGGATCAAAATGACATGTTTAAAAGAAACATGATCTGGGTCAATGTCTGCAAAGGGCAAACAGCTAATTCAGAATGAGGAATAAGTATGACCATGTGTGTTTCTGTTGTTACATTTACGTTGTATAATTACCGCAGTGTTGCCAGATAAATTTACTTCTTATCTGTAGTTATTGTTGATTTATATTTCTCTTACATGTGTTAGAGGTTGATATGTGCTCCAACAACATTATGAAAACTAGCATCTGGGCTTTATCAACAATTATTTCCAAGGATAATGATATATTTAGGTTAGTTATCTGTGGAGTGTTGTGCTGCATTGATCCTTTGCAGAGCTGAGTCTGAAAGTGGTTTGCTTTCTTCAGCCAGTGGACTTTCCTAGAGCAAGCCCTTTCTTCTAATGCAGGAATTAGCCTTAATATACAAGCCAAGGAGGCAGGGAAGAGTAATCAAGCAGAAGATATGACAAGATCTTTGAGGAATGTCTTGTATATTTAAATTGTGATACGAAAGCTGTATTGGAAAAAAAAAAAAAAAGAAGTTACAGGCCCCAGACTATTTCCAGTGTGTTAGGAAATACCTCTTGGACAGTGATCAGTAGACTCTATGCAACTAATTTTGTTTTTCTTGTGTGTTTGCTTTCCAACAGAGACTTCTGAACTTCCCTAGCTATTATTAGAAGTTCATGTGCAGTGTAAAGATACAATGCCATGAGACACCAGCAGCAGTGCAAAGCCAGTTTCAGAAATTCCCTGTCTCATTCCTCTTGTCTCTCACAGCTGTTTGGCTGCACTCTAAACCGGATTGCTGAGGGAAGGAGAGGAATCATGGTATTATCTCAGTGATCTGGTTTCTGGTGTGGAACAAAATACAGCTTTATGTAACTTCAGTTCTATCCTGAAAAGTACCAGACTCAAATATGTGTGAGGGACCGTGCAGATGTAACGGAGGAGTGTACGACAGAGGAATTTGGGTAGTAAAGCTGCTTGAGCGTTTCATGACATTGAATTGCGATCAACTAGGCTTCAACTGGAGTCTTATGTGGTGTAATTAGCCTGACCATTTATGAATGTAGCTGAATGCATGGCTTACCTTTCTCATACTGTTCTTGCTTCTTATTCATCAGATTCAAGTAATTGAAAATGATAAGGCTGCGAGGGGAGGGCAGATCTATGCTACAAACACAAGAGGACAGGTTCCTCCTCTCGTCACCACGGACTGCGTAATCCAGGACCAAGGTAACTGTCCTTGTTTGGGAGTCTTTATAGGTGAAATCAAATATAATTAAAAAAAACAAAAGAAGATTAAGTTCTCAGATTTCTCATCTGAAAATGATGCTCCTTACTCTAAATTGGACATGAAATTGGAAACTTCCTTTAAAGAAAAGAAATGGTGGGAGACGGGAAGTGGGAGTTGAATTCTTACACCTTAGGTTAACACCTCATCTACCCTTCCTGACCTTTAAGATAATATGAAGAGTGGAGACAACTTGTCTTTTTTAACTTAAAATTTTTCAAGGTGTTACATTTCAAACTGAAAATCCTCTTTTGGATTCTTCTGAAATTTTAGAAGATGGACACTAGAAGACACAGACTAGCACTGTTAGGTTTTAAAACAGAGATTTTGAAAAGTTAGGACTTTTGAGAGATAGGGGCAGTGTGCCAGCTGTCTAGTTGATTTACACTGGCCAAAGGAAAGATTTATCTGCCTTTGCCTCTTCTTAGAGCCTGCAAGCACAATCTTCCACGTGCTGCTCTTGACAGCAGACTTGATATTTTAATACAGGTTAAACTGATGGTATTATTTAGCCCAGCAGTAATTTATCAGTACTTGGATAAACTGTATAAAATGTACAAACACATCAAGATTTTTTTGGCATTATCTGAGAATGGGATAGTGCAGTTCTGATGATCCAAGAAATTCCTTTCAAGAGACTGAGCAGAGCTGCAGCTGGATGGTTAAAAAGGGAGCATAGGGAGGCCAATTTCTGAACTCGTGTCTCCTTTCAATGTGCTTGCCTGCAGCGCACAGCAGTGACTCACTGAGGGACCTGAGCTAAGAGTGCTGCTGGAAGTGTTGTGGTGACTTTAGCAGCTTGTGTTTTGTGATGTGAGTGTGCATGATGTTAACACGGACACACTCTTCCCTGAATCAGAGCTAGCTCATCAGAGCTTAAGTAGGTATCAGTCTGCCTCATTCCATTATATACAGTGTTGACATTTCCACTGGGGATATCATCCATATTTTCTTTTAAGATAATATGTTTCAAACTAATCTCTATTGAGATTCTTGTTGCAAATAATTTTAGGATTATTCTTGATGTGTAAGAATCTCTACTTTAAATTCAAAGAGCAGGAAAAGATTTAACCAGCGGGAGGGGCAGTGGGCTGACATAAAAAGGAGAGATGGGCAGAAGCACGCATGGGAGGAAAGAGCCTCTGTGTTTGATGCAGCATATGCACTTGTTGCTTTAGGATGTTGGTTTGGTTTTCCTGCTTTGTGTGAGGAGTGGGAGGGTTCCTTTTACCAGCCTCTCATTCTGCTGTGCTGGGTGTTCCAGGCCACGCCAGCCCGCGTTACATCCGCTGTACTACCTACTGCTTCCCCTGCTCCCCAGCCACTTCGGATATGGCCAGACAGGCTCGCATTCCCCTGGCTGCTGTCGTCCAGCCTTTTGCTACTGTGCCACCAAATGAGGTGAGGACTAACTGAGGATTACTCTCCTAAGTATTGCAGACTTGTTCTCTGATTGTTCTGGGGGTGAGGGTGTTGCCTACCTATGACTGTGAAGCGGTAAAGACCATATAGAAATGGCAGAAGACTATGGGTCATGATGCAACTTGAAGGGATAAAAATCTTCATTTAGAAAAGGTACAGGAGTGACAACTTAGTAATCTGAACCACTGGGCTCCTAGTGCTCCCCTAACTGTCACTAGTTTATGCTTTGCCAGTTGCTTGCTCTGCTGGAACTCCATAGGTGTAGGCAAAGGCATTAAGAGACAAGAAACTGTATCAGGTTAATTTTGAGATGTTGAGAGTTAGATTTAAAGACAGACATTTTTCCATTGAGTTCTTTACAGAATAATTTAATTGCACAGCAGACCAAGAAGATAATTGTATTTTCTACTTGGATGAGCTGAGTCATAGAACACAAATGTAACCACCCATTTTTGGCACTCATTTGGAGGCACTAGCCTTGTCCTTTCCTCACATGACAATCTCTAATGGCTCTTCATATTCTAAACATATCCCTAGTTCCTTCTGCAAGGTTTTTCTGCAGGGTCGCAGTATTCTGTGGTCTTGAGATAATCATTCATGTTTGCTGGCAGCCCCAAGGATCAATCAGTAGCAGGGATAAAAACAGTTTTAACAGCATTTAACTGCATCATCTGTGGGATCATCTTTCTTGTTCTTCACCTCCTCTCTCCTCCATTGCACAGCTTCTAAATTCTGTGAGGTATGCAGAATGCATTTCCTTTTCATGTCCTACATTGATTTACTTTCAGAGTGCTGTTTACTGGAAAAAAACCCCAAGGGATTTCATGAAAGTTGTAGTATGTGATTGCATTTTCAAAAATTCCTCATAAAATGCATGCACAGAAAAGCCTAATTAAAAATGCTAAGACATTCAGTGCTTGGTTTTGCAGTCTTAGATTTTTTCTTTGACTTTGTTTTATTACTTGTAAATTCTTAGTAGTTTTTTTGAAATCTATATTGGAAGAAAGCAGATGTTGTTCTTTATCAAGATGGATAACTTCCAATCCAACATACCTCTGTAGTTTGAATTTAGAGCATTATTTTAGCAGGGTAGTATGTAGTTATCTTTGTGCTCCACAGGGAAATAGGATGTATTACTTATGGTTCTGCAGATGCAGAGTCTCACCATTTGTCTGCTAGACAGCAGCTTTGGGTTTCATTCCAGTTCTTCTGGGTAATGTGCAGACTTGGCTTGTTGCCTCCCCCCCTTTTCTCCTAGACGAAACTCCTACTGTTGCTTCTCCACCTCTTCCCTTTATCAGCTGACCTTTACTCTTTACCACCCTTTATCCCAATTTCTGTGCCCAGGTGGCGCTTACCAATTCACTTTCACTCTGCCTCTAGTCCGTTATGTCCCCCACGCATGGCTTCCCTGTCTCCTGAGTTGTGTTTGGACAGGGTGATCAATGACTTGCTAAAATCTAAATCTCTTCTGCATAGATAAATGAGCAGTATGTACAAACATTTGTGCTTGGCCGAGTTCTGGGGGTTTTCCTGGGGTTGGCAAAAAGATGAGCTCAGTGACCCACCCGTTCCGAAGTGTTAGTGCTCTCAAGCTGTTGGAAGGGTCAGTGGGACTCATTAATCTGTAAAGAGCAGTGTGTTTTTTCCCTAGCCTCTTTCTTGGAAGAGGCTATAAAAACCTCTGAAAAATGTCTCTCAAAATTGGCAAAAGCCCAGTGTGGAAAATTTTAGTCAGAACAATTATAGCTTGGTAAAGTTATAAGAACTAAAGAGATAGTGTTACAGTAGGAAGAGCTGGGCAGTCTTAGCTGAGGCAGTTTTTCCAAGCTTGCCTGTGCCCTTTGTCTTCACTGCTGCTGCCAAAATAAGATCTTTCTCGTAAGGTCTTCTAATAAAAATGGTCTTCCATATGGGATTTATAACTAATTCTGAAAAGCCACTTAATTTGAAAGAACTGGACTTTTTATAGAGGTAAAATACATTCAGGGGCTTATTCCTGTCTCTGAACTTCCTAGTATGGTGTGTTCTGCCTGAAAGTAGTGACTGCGAGGCACAGAATGTTCTTTGTTTCAGAACATCTAGCCTATCTTACAGATAGGGCCCTTTAGCAATGTCTGCAGGTGATGCTCATTGCATAGTGCAGGGCTACAAAGTGGAAATCTGATTTCTTTATTTCCTAATAAGCAGCACGTTGTTCATAACCTTAAAATAATGGATGTTTTTTTCTTCTAGCTTTTTGTTTAATAGTTTCCCTTTATTATGTTTATTACAGCTTTAGCTACAGATCTCTCTTTTTTGCTGTTTCTAATATACTCAGTGTTAGGGTGAAATTATCACCCAGAGAATTTCAGTTCTGTTTCTTTTCAAAGGATGAGGAAGAACACTAGTGGCTACAAGGGTTTAGAGGACATGGATGTGAAGTGGCCACAAATGGTTTGTGCAGCTGGTGATGTGCTTAGGAGTGGCAGAAAAGCTGACACGTCTCACATGAACTGTGAGGACTTCAGTAGGAGTTATGGTCCATATTACACAGACCATGCCCTTCGGGGTTACCAAAGCCATGTTAAAAAAGCTATGAACTATTGGTGTCATTCAAGTGACTAATAGGCTTGAGTGTTTCATAAATGTAATTTTTAATGTATTTTGCTTTGATCCTCATTTATAGATGAGGGTGAATTTAAAGCAGTATATAAAATACGTTTGTGTAATCTGAGCTGCAGTGAAAATTTGATAAATAGCTAAGTCTGTTGACACAGGCAGGATTAGATATGTGTGTGAGAGGGACAACACAGCTGTATGGACCTTCTTCTCTTTCTTTATTGAACACAAGCACCATTTTGGTGGATGGCTTGTAAGTGGTGTTACGTGTTGGTACCTGTTGGAGGGTTGTGCACTCTGGTTAGAGTTTGCATTTGGAGCATCAGAGTAAAGCGTTGGTCTGTGCTTGGCTGTGCAGGCAGTGGGAAGGAGTGCCTGAGAGATTCTTCATGTAAAACAACTGGGTAGGAGGGAGTAGGAAAAGGTAATTGAGGTCATGGAGTTGGCAGAGATGTCTGTGTAATGCAGATGATAGGCAGCACTTTGCTGTCAAATCAGTTTTGTTCCTCTGAACTCCTTGACAAGGACATCCTATGAGAAAGCTGGTTTGGGGTTTAGTGTGTAGCTTCTGATGGTGAGCAGCATTTTGTTCTGTCGGTTAGACTTCTGTCTCTCTGTTCAGATTTTATTCTGAAGAATCAATAGTGCTCCAGCTGGCAGAGCCTGGAAACACTCCCTGAAGTTTTGGCTTTAATGGCTGTAATGAATTTAAAGAGGATAAAAAAAGTGGTTAATTGCATTCATGCGAACAGTAGTCAACTGGAAATTGAGCTCTGAGGATTTGCTTCCTTTGACTAAGAACACAGGGAGATGGAGAAGAAAGATCCTGGGAACTTTCAAAAAAGAAAAGTTTAGGTCTAGTGACTTGACAGTAGCTTGCTCAGAAATACACTTTCAATTTGGAGGTCCAAACTGGAAAAGGTAATTTGGGGTTTCAGCAGGTCTGAAAGGCAGGTTTAAGTTCATTAGTCACTGTAGATTCTTTTTGGCCAAGTGAAATGTCTACACACACAGGGACTGGTGTCCTGTCTCCAGAAGTGAAGTGGGAAGATTAGCACAGAGAATTAATTTGTTTTTTGAACTAAAATCCGAGAAAAAAACTGTCAGGAGCTGAGAAAGAGACAGACTTGAACAGGGACACCTTTTGAAGAGGTGCACACCGGGTATCTCCATTTTCAGTAAAGAATGGGATGCAAATTATCCCTGTGGGGAAAAAATAAGAGCACAAAGTAAAGTCGTCATGATGCCAGATAAAGATGTTAAATGAAAAAATCTCAGCCAAATCTTTGGATAAATGACTGTGCTTGGGAGGAACCCCAAAACAAACGGGGTTTGCCCCTGCAGCGAGAAAGAACAAAGGTCACAAACAATGCTTGACTTCAGAAATCTAAAATTCCATGTGACAGCAAATTCAAGAGCTGGGTAGAGACCCTTCAGTCAAAATGGTTGTGGGTTGTATGTGATGTCCTAAGAGCAGGAAAGTTAGCAGCACTTGGCACACAGGCACTGAGCTTCAGAAGAGCAGAGCAAGTGGAATGGATTTATTCAGAAAAGCCCTGAAGCTGAAAGCTAGAGGGGAAAAATCCATGGAGGGCACACAGTCTCTCTGAGTTTGCTGCAAAAACCTGCAGCCAATCTGGATTATAAAATAGTGAATGTTACACGTGCACTACAGATCACTGGAAACAAAGGCTGTTAAAACACTCGTGCCTTACCTCCCCTGCCCAGAGTCTTAACAACACCAACTAGATGTTTCAGCTTCTTATCTTTACCAAGTCCTTATTTATTGTTTCTCAGAAATAACAGTTCATTTTCACTCTCCTGATTCAAATGATCTATGGAAAGTATTTGTTTGTTATGGATTGAGAATACAGTATCATTGTTTGACAGAAATTATTTTTAGTCTACCAGTGCTTTAGCAACAGTCCATAAAAATAAACTAGCTCTCACAGTTATCATCATAGACCAAGCCCTACATGAATTTGTTTTGGAGATGGATGAATGTTTCCAGAGCCTGAATAAACCATGTGATCTTGATTTAACATTTAATACTACTTGCTAATAAAAGTTAGTTAAAATAATATTTCAGGTTGTAAAATCAAATATAAACAACTCCAAATAATTATCTCTAGTCTTAAATATTTGAATATCTAAACTACTGCCTTTGGTGCTCCTTAGGAGTGTCATCATTCTCTGCCATGCTCTTTGCTATTTATTTGAAGTGTGGTCTTTTGTTTTTTAGAAATATTTACTTGTGGGAATCTAATATTTCACTTTTTATCTTAGTTAATTAACTAGTTAAAAGAATGGAATTCTCAGAAATGGTGTTCATGAACTAAAAGCCATTTAACCTTTCCAGAGTAGTGAACTTTGAGGAC